TGTTTGTCTGTTTGTCTTCAAACTTTAACCTTCGCCATAACTTTTGGACAATAAGAGATAGAGACTTCATATTTGGTATGCATACTCCACTAATGAAGCTCTTTCAATTGACACCAAGGTCAATGACCTTGTGACCTTGACCGCGACCTATATGCTAAATATAGTTTTTTCCTGCAGACTTTAACCTTCGCCGTAGCTTTTCAACCATGGAAGATAGAGACTTCATATTTGGTGTGCATACTCCACTCATAAAGTTCTTTCAAATGACACCAAGGTCAATGACCTTGTGACCTTGATTGCGACCTATATGCTAAAAATAGCTTTTTTTGAACTTTCACCATAACTTTTGAATCATAGGAGATAGAGACTTCATATTTGGTTTGAATACTCCACTAATTAAGCTCTTTCAAGTGACACCAAGGTCAATGACCTTGTGACCTTGATTGCGACCTATGTGCTAAAAATAGCTTTTTTTTAAACTTTCACCATAACTTTTGAATCATAGGAGATAGAGACTTTATATTTGGTTTGAATACTCCACTAATTAAGCACTTTCAAGTGACACCAAGGTCAATGATCTTGTGACCTTCATTGTGACCTATATGCTAAAAATAGCTTTTTTGAACTTTAACCATAACTTTTGAACCATGAGAGATACAGACTTCATATTTGGTATACAAACTTCATTAATCAAGGTCTTTCAAATGAAACCAAGGTCAATGACCTTGAGACATTGACTGTGACCTATATGCTAATAATAGCGTTTTTCGAACTTTGCTGCCGCCGGGCGCATAGTGTTTCACAAACACATCTTGTTCTTAAATAAAATTTTCCCCGTTTTCATATAACGAAAGGCTCAGTTTATTTAAATGTTGAATTTCCACCTAAAAACGACCACAATATTGGGTTTCTAGATTGGTAGGGATCATATGCATTTCAAAAATCAAAGTACCATCTTTCCTAAAAAAAAATAATGATCCCTGAGAAATTCTTTGTGTTTTTTCTGTATATATTTTGTATTATGTATTAATTTCAAGAAGCCATTATAACTTGCTAGATATTACATGCTTTCAATCGATCGATGAAATGCCCCGCCTACTCCGAATATTAATGTGACACAATTAAAACCCAACTCGGACAAGCTCAACATTCCGGATTTATCACTCAGTTTATGACTTTTTTGATAACCATTTATAAAACTAAGGCGCCGTTTTCAGTGTGAATTTTGCAAGTAATATACCACAAAGATAACAAAGTATGAGTTAAGTATAAAATAATTAACATTTGCGTTAATTAGATAAAGTTAGAGGGGTCTGAAAAAGGGGGTACTGCACTAAGCTTAAGTGGAAACATTCTTTCAAATAATTGAAGTGGCGCAGTGGTTAGAGTATCTGCTTTAGACTCGCGGAGTATTTGACTGTGGGACGTGGAGACTTGTCCTTCAAATGGGACCGCATAATTTCAATATCACAGTAGTATCGAAAATTGCTCAATGGACCCGAGTCACAGGCATTTGTCAAAACTTGTAGCACTCCATCGGCAAGTGGTGGCATCTCCATCCATGAGATGAAATATTCTAGAGAGGGATGTTAAACAACAGCACCAACAAACACAGAATTGAAAACTCTGCTACATATATATAATTGGCCATCAACATTTGACCTGTATACTTACTTTGAAGGTAGGATGTTTTGCAGAGATTCAGAGCAAAATCCTGTCTTCTTTTGTACTGGAGGAAGCCATAATCTTTTTCTTTACAAGAAAAAAAAATGAAATTCTTATCTTTTGTAGTCTTAGAAAAGAAAATCGAATATACTAATATTTTGACATTTGCAAATATTTCCCAAAGATGAATTTATTTGAGGGAAGATGTGTTAAGGGTTCATGGGCCATATACTGACTGAATCTCACGGCGATATGATATCTTGCGTATACATATTTCTTTCACAGTGGAACTGGTTTCGTAAGGTTTAGTTTGATGGCGATAATAAAAATAACTTAAATAATACATAAGTACATTTTTTCAATCAGCAGATATCCATTAGATCTACCTTTGGGTTAGCAATGGTTTGAACGATAGTATTAAAATTGCATCAATCAAATTAAACATGCACAAATCCTATTTCGTATGTAAACTGAAACAGAAGATAACAAAAAATTTCAATCAAAATATTTAAGAACATTGTTAAACAGTACATCAGTCTCATTTTCCTGGCTTTATTCACAAGGATATTCTGAGCATGATCGCAAAACATTTAATGTAAACATTTAAATATTTATAGAAGACAAGCTTCCAAGTTATTCCAGTTCTCGGTTACTGCGATTCAAACATAGTGAGTCCAAGCTAGGGCTGTATTTTTACTTTACTTTGATTTATATTTTGGTCTTAAATGTCAATGTAAGAACAAAATGACAAGGTTAAAAATTTCACCGAGAAAAAAACTTTGTTGGTATCTGATCCAATCTACTAAAAAGTATTTGTTCATATAACCGACTACGTTCATTTCACAGTGAACACTTGAAATCTTAAAAATTGTACCAAATTACTTCCATTTAGGTATTATGATGAATACTGAGGTTGAATTTGGAAACAGCTGTATTGAGAAAGATAAAATGATGTTTTAAAATGAAACAATTTTCGGTTTTGATAACAGAGTCCGTAGAAATATTTATAATAAAACTGTGGTAAGCAATATGTACAATGTACATAAACTCTTAAAAAGTACTGTGAAATTAAATAGACAATTTTGAACAAAGAAGTAAATTAACATAATGCTATAATGATTCTGTAAACATTATCTTATGATGTTCGATAGAACTTTGCCGATGATTGCCCTGGGATTTATACCTTTAAGTGTTTGTATTTGTATTAATTTCTTAATCATATTTCACTTAAAGGAGAAAATAAATAATTTTAAATAAGGGTGATGAATAAAGATTTCAGTCTGACAAGTAGGATACACATATATTCTAGTGCCTTAGAACTTGAATAATGTTTTGTACTTTTTTGTTCTTTAAGTACTTCGTGGATATATTCTGTGTACATGGCGTCTTCTTGATGGTATTTGTCTGTGGTTATTGTCATGGCTTTATTTGCATTCCAATTTTCTGATATATCTGGATCATTTTCAAGGCAAACGTGCTCTAAAACACCATGACAAGAGTAAATTATAAAACATTTATATTCTTCAAAATTTAAAATCAAAGTCTAATCATTGTTAAACAATACTGTATTAGTCAATATGGAAGCACAAATAAAATTACTAAAAGTTTGTTATATTTCACCTTCAGACAGTGTTATGTTCTCCTTTCTGTTTGTGTGTTCTTGATTGACGTTATGCAAAAGTAGCATCTCCCCGCCATGCTCATCTGATGCTTAATAAAAAAAAACATGTAACTAGTTAAAAACGAATTTTCAAGCCTGCCTTGCAGCAATAGAGAGGTTGAGATTTCAAACGTGTACGTGTACGGGTACGTCTAGTAGGGGAATAACCTAAATTCTGTGTGTATAACTTCATCAATTTTGGTGACGTCAAGATTGCTACACGTTCGTACAACTTGTAGAATGGAATCTACACGTTTTGAAAACGTGTAGCTTTAATAATAAAAATTAGCCAATTTAAGTGTGAAAATGTGATTGTTATACATTATATAGGATGTTCACTTTCACGAGCACTTATTTTCATAAAGTTTTGTTTACTAACTGACGACAAAAAACCTTCTAAATAGTTGGAACTCAGACTCCGATCGCGGCGTACACGTACATGTTACGTCATAAAAATCTCAACAGACAAATTTTAAAAAACGTATACGTGTATGTCAAAATATATACAAGTACACGTACGCGTTCAAGTTTAAGATCTCAACCTCTCTAATATTTCCATGCAGGCGACAATGCCTCTACTGAATCATAATATTTTAGAACATTGTTAAATAGTGCATTATTATCATTTTCCTGACATTATTCACAAGGATGTTCTGAGCATGATAGCAAAACATTTAATGTAAACATTCAAATATTCATTGAAGACGAGCTTCCAAGATCAAATAACTTCCAGTTCTTGGTTACTGTGATTCAGGCATAGTGAGTCACATCTGGGGCTGTATATTTACTTTTATTGAAATATTGGTCTTAAATGTCAATGTAAGAACAAAATGACACCGAGAAAAAAAAATTAGTTGGTATCTGATCAAATCTACTAAATAGGATTTGTTCGTGTTACCGACTACGTTCATTTCCCAGGGAACACTTAAATTTTATAAATTGAATCAAATTACTTCCATTTAGCTATTTTGATAAATAAAGAGGTTGAACATGGAAACGCCTGTGTTTATTGCAAAACGTATAATAATGATTTCAAAGAAAGGAATTTAGGTTTTGATAACACAGCCCTTAGAAACTATTATAATATAACTACCGAAATCGATGTGTACATTGACTCTTAAAAAGTTCAGTGAAATTAATTAGACAATTTTCAACAAAGAAGTTAATTAACTAAATGCCATAAAGAATTTGTAAACATTATCTAATGATGTTTAAAAGAACTTTGACAAATTTTTGTCATAGGATTTAATTACTTAATCATATTTCTCTTCAAAGGAGAATTCAAAATAAATACATTTAAAAAGGGTGATGAATATTTTCTGTCGGACAAGCATGATATACATGCATTCTAGTGCCTTATATCTTGAATAATGTTTTGTACTTTTTTGTTTTTTAAGTCCTTCTTCATGGATACATTTTGTGTACATGGCGTCGTCTTGATGGTATTTGTCTGTGGTTATTGTGATCTCTTTATTTCTATTCGAATTTTCTGATATATCTGGATCATTTTCAAGGCCAACTTGGTCTGAAAAGCCAAGAAAAGAGTTCATAATAAAACAGTATACTTAAAAATTTAACATTAAAGTATAATCAATGTTTAACAATATTGTATTAGCCAGTATGGGTGCATAAATAAAAATGCTAATTGATTGTTAAATTTTACCTTCTGGCAGTGTTATGCTATCCTTTCTGTCTGTGTTTTCTTGATTGAAATTATGCAACTGCAGCATCTTCCCGTCATGCTCATCTAATGCGTTATAAAAAAAAAAGACATGCAACTTTTTATCATCAATATTTACAGACACCCCTTACATTTCATATAAAGAAAACACAGGACAAATTTAAAGTATTTACTATTAAGCAATGATTCGTTTTCAAAAATGTTGACATTATCATTAATTCCCGGATGTTTTCTTCTAAAGAATATTTTGCACCGCTTTCTTTTCCACATAATCGTTGCAAACACGACTATTCCAGAAATGATCCCTAGAATGGTTATCAAGGGGGCCAACACTGGCACCAAATGTATCCCTTCCTGCTCTTGTATAGTGTGATTCTGAGAAATAACTGTTTGGGATGTTGATACCTCTTTCCTTTCCGTTGTTGTAGCTCTAAAAGGATAGAAACCCAGTGTTACAAAAATTATAAATTCCACATTGTTGCAAAATTGCGCACTTGTAATTCTTTTGATTCATTGATATGGTGTGCAAATAAAAATCAAAGTTACCGATTCTTCCGGCATTTTTCTTCAGACATAAAACATTTCAAAACGGGCTCAATACGAAAGCAACTAGGGTCTGTAATGAACATTAAAAACACAAAATAACAAAAAAAAAAAGAAAATAAGGAAAAATGTAAAGAAAAGATACATAAAAAATACACCAATGAGAGAGATATATTAAGCTAAATTACATGAGATCATACTGAAAGTATTAATGAAAGGTAGAACACGAAAATTAATAAAAAAAAAAAAAACAACTTACAGTTATATAGCTCGTCCGTGAAATAATGTTCATCCGGGCATCCATAAGTAAAATGAAGACAAGTATAATTGTCCAAGAAAAAAGAAGAATCAAAAATAACACACTGGCCTGTAATACCAAAAACATTCAATGCATTCTTATAAGTTCGTGTGCCTATTTAGTTATCAGACAAATTAAAACAACTTTATCTTACAACTCAAATGCATGTTAACTGAATGAATCTCAAAAGGATAAACTGTAATGATTTGCTAAATGTTATTTATATATCACTTAAAAGGATACAGATGCATTCCATTTAGGCGTATTGAACAAAATGCGGAATTAATATTTTTGAATATGAAAATAAAAGAACAAATATAATAGACCTTGAATGATGTAGGATATGCTAACCTATTCCATATATACTCCTGGTTTGTGGGTAACAGAATTCCACCAGTTGTGATCGGTCTCTTGTGGCCACACAGTGATATCTATTCTTATAATCTTTTGATTCTATTGTACAGTTCAGTCTCATAGACGCAGCCTCCCAATCAGATTTATTGTCAGGACAGACATCAACAGTGAAGACTGGAAATTTTCTCAACCCATTTGTAAACTAAGAATACGAAAAGAAAGTTAGGTACGGTTTTGGCTTTATTGTACTCTAAAAATTTAATGTTCTCCAAAAGTTGATGAGTCGTTAAAGACTATTGCATGAAAGAGAACCATTGTGAATTTACGGCTTTATTAATTGATACTTTTCTAATTTTTATGCAGAAAACACTGAATTCATTTCTCTGCCTATTTTCCTTTAGAATATAGTGTCTGCTGCCGTCGCTCACTTCAGTTTTTGATATATTGTGTAAAATGCTTTGAAAAATCACATAGATAAATATCTTTATAGGCAATCATCATCACATATTTCGAAGAGGAAAACAGTTCTTTTGAATAATAAAAAAATAATGAATGCTCAATACGTACACAGCCAATTGTGCCTAACGGTAATTTAGTGTTAATCTCAATTAACATTAAATTAACGTTAGCTTGATGTTAGTTTAATGTTACTTTCGTGTTAAGTTAACGTTAAAAATGTTAACATTAAATTAACGTTAATTTTTAACGTTAATTTAACTTAACATTAAATTCATGTTAATTTTTAACGTTAATTTAACTTAACATTAATTTCATGTTAATTTTTAACGTTAATTTAACTTAACATTAATTTCATGTTAATTTTTAACATTAAATTAACATTAAAATTTTAAGTGAGCTTGGGTTCTTCTTAAAAAAAACTAGAACCAAAATATTAACATTAGATTAACGTTAATTAGTTAATGTTAATTTCATGTTAATATGAATTTAACCTTAATTCTTTAATGTTAATTTCATGTTAATTAGAATAACACGAGATTTATGTTATTTGTAACGTTTCCGAGCGGTCTAAGTTAATTCCTTCTATTGTAAAAAAAAATCCAATGGCAATATAATAATCCTTGGGTATAAAATCATATAGGTTTTTCCTCGTAATAAAACTCAATAACTGATTACAAATGTTTATTAAATCCAAAGTAAAATAGAATATAATCCAAAGAAATTAAAACAAAATAAATCCAAAATATTAATGAATGAAAGGCACTATAAAATCACTCCTATATCTAATTCTATCGCTACCTCTATATCAAAATCCCACATCAAAATCTCACTAATTATTTAATTATCCCGTTTATATACTCTATTGACTCCTCTTACTCCACTTGACTCCCCTCGATCTATTTATCTTAGTCTAGACGTAATTCATCACTAACACTCTCCTCCCACTGATTATAATCGCCTAACTTTCTCCTCCTTACTCAATTACCGCTAGCTCCCCATGACCTGTCCACAGTCTGGGTCAAACCTCCAATAAATCTATCTAAGTGACCAATGCAGTAGAATGCTACATTTAAACTACAACTACAGAATAACATGAATAATCTAAAATAAAACAATAAAAGAAAAATAATATATCTACGCTACATT